TGCGTGGGAAGCACAAAATCACAGGTGGCTTAAAAATAACTTGAAGAATTTCACAATTCAGTGAACTTTGTGCCTACTCGGCAGATCGGTCAGCAACTGAAGGAAACCGGAAGTGAACACATTCTGGCGAGGGAACAGGGCAAGATGGTTAAAATCTATTGCAAAAGATCGAATCACCTCGAAACTATAATGCTGTCTACAAAGAGAGGTCAAAGTATTTAAACCATGATCAAGGCATTCAGTAGAGCATCAATAGAACTTCCCACAGAGTCGTAACAGCCTGAACAGAGAATAAAGAAGGATCCGCACAGTTGCGAATAGTTTTTCGCAACTAACACCAACACCACACGAAGACAGCGAAAACCTATCAGAAATTTTCATCAAAGAATAACAAATGTTTTCATCACAAACACAGGAGTGGCACAAGTCCTGTTAGCAACACCACGTGGGTCACGCGATTTCAACCCACGCCAGTCACGAAAAGGCTTTGGAGGATTTGAAAAGAAACCAGAAAGCTCACTGAATCTGTTTCAAATATATTTTCATAAATACTGATCACTGAAATATCTCGATCCGGGACGTATCAATATCATTGGTTCAATTAAATGAAAAAATACAATACATATTAATAAAAATTGTGGGAGAAAGAATATATAAAATATATTGAATCTTAAACGGAAGAAATTGTCATCGGTTGGCAAACTAATTAACAGTTTATTTTTATAAGAATCGATAAAGGTATCTTTTAACAAAGAAATTGCTTGTACAAACGGTTTCAACGGAACAGAATAAATTTTTGGAATTTCCAGGTTAGAACACACTAAACAAAAACTTAATGAACCCTCAAACTACAAATAATATTTGCACACGGTGAGCAATTGTTAAATCAACCAGAATCGGGGGAGAACAAATTTATGACCGATGAGAATCTGCACACGAAATTTTTGAAAACTACGGCTCGCAGATCGATCCGAGTCATTGGCAGTGATATGCCGCTTTTTTGTTGCGCTTCAGCGTAAATGATCTTCAAGAATGACATGATGAATTATGATTTCTAAGAATCTTCAAGAGTCTACTGTTAAAGAAAAACCTCCTGAAGTCACCATGCCAACGACAAAACGCAATTAGATCGTATTTTTTTTCTTCGACAGTTCTAAACATGCCCCTATTAGGCAAAAGTAGTTTCCCTCAATTGGCATAATTTTGCGCAAACGTCGTGGAAAATCGGGAATTTTCCTTGTATCCAAAATTGCTACTTTCAATCTTTGGTTTATTCATGGTAAAATTAGTAACTTAAATTTTGGCGACTTATCCTTACCAGAGCAACATGCAAAGGCAAAGTGCTTCGATTTGAGAATTTCCATTCGTCATGCTTCTCTGCGATAGAACCTGAGTGGTAAAGGTTTCCTTTCTGGTTAAGTTTTGTATTCGAAAAATTACACTACAGACTGCTGAAATCGATCTCAAAATTTTCCCATGAGAAACCCTAAGGCCTAAAAAGAGAAAACTTTTACCAGGGTTTTATTGTATATCGACATCTTATAAACTTCGCTTTCTTTTGCTCATGAATATCCCGTGATAATTATTAAGGGAAATAACCTCCCTGTATTTTGCTTGTCGCAACCAGCATTACCTTGACTTTGGGGGTGAAATATAACCCTTAAATTGTCACACTTGAGCAAATATTACCGACTACTTTCGAAGTGACATCACCAACCTAATATGTTGAAGTAGTATTTATTTCAAGCAGGGGGCAGAAGATAAATTAGTTAAACTAACCTCAACCCAGATAATTTTCTACGAGATCTCAAGTCCGATCAAGCTACAGATCCTTGTGCACAGTTAACTAAAAGGTAAGGTTATAACTTAGTAAAAATTTAACGACAATAATTCAGAGGAGTCTGGCGTGACTATGTCTAGTTTTCATGCAAATGTTCCTCTCTAAAACGCGACATAACGTCAACATATGCAGGATCCTTATTCAGTTTTCTCTGGAATCGTTAAAAGAATAATTTCCTTCTCCTTGCATATCGAGCTACATTGATGGTTATAGGATTCGGAAATAATTTTTCAGGAAGCTTGTGTGAAGTGAACATCGGCTTTGAGAATACTCAACACGACCATAGAAAGAAATGCTTACAATGACCAAGAGACTTTTAAACTTTTCATATTTGAACGAACAAGCTCAACTGCTTTCAAATCATGATTATAATCGTTTCGTCAAGAAATGATGGGAGGGGATCGATGGAGCCAAAAAGTCTACGAGCGGACTGCTTAAAAGATCTGTGTTTGTCGTTATGGGCACAAAACCTCAAATTGAGTGTGAAGACCCAAATCTTCAAATTGGTGTCGATTTTCGCACGAAGTTTTTGAGGAGGTGAAAAGAATTTTTTCGGCTACCCCTCTAGATATGACCTCAGCTTTTATGCGTTACGTCATCGTTTGTGCTTTGAGCTGCTCTCAAAGATATCAACGCTTTTCACAATAAAATAAAAGTTCGAAATCCTGCTCCATGGGCATTTCTCATTTTCCTTCTTTTCCCTCTTCCTACAAAATATCCACGCTGCAAAAAATTTAAATTTTGATTTGATGCAAATGGTAAGGATGACCCCATAGACAATTTGCTGGTTATGACCGAAACTGAAAATCTGACCCCCTGAGTCTATTTCGTTGTTTTTTAAATACATGTATATCTATATTTCCTGGATGTACGTGCAAGTATGGACAGCTAATACCTCATTTACATGTTTTGTTTATTTTTGGTCAAATAAAATAAAAATGTCAAACATAGTTAGCTAGTTAGAAAGAAAAACTAATTTTTTCAAGGTAAAACTCACATCTGACTGAGGTTACCTAAAATTAAATCTTTCATGAACAAAGTCGCACTTGAATTGTACCTCAGACTTCGGGGTTTCATAAGAGCCGACGGTCCATCGCGGCCTTTAAAAGATCTTACCGCCGACTGTTTAGCTCTCGTGTTTGGGTTTCGCCTTACGGCCCCTGTGCGGGCACAGCCTCCTACACCATCAGCAGCCGTTTATGGAAAAAGGTTATTGAAACCTCTGCAGATTGCAGAGGTAAAATGAAAAAAGATTGATGTGGACGTGAATTAAATCGTGCCCTCTCCAAGCTTTTGAGTTCAACCACTTCCAAGAAGCGATTGAATTCAAACGTAAACCTTATCCTTTTTCAGGCACAAGCATTCCGAAAATAACAAATGAAAAAATAGTAGATATTTTATGATGAAGCTATTTAGTTACTGCCGGCCAAACCATTGTACTTTCTCGAAACTGCAAATGCCGCGCTAAAACAAAGGGAAATTCCTCTAGAAAAGAAAGCTTATTAGCTTCTAAATTTGTCTAAATCTTAGAAATGTCAACTCAGCGACTAACCAACGCGCAAAAAAAAAAAGTTGTCGAATCAGTTTTCTCCTACCGAAGACTTTCTTTGCATTCCTATAAAGGCTGTTGAAATTTCGCATCTTCTTTCAAACTGCGAAATGAGCTGCATCCCACGCCACTATAGATTGAAATTTGAAAACATACTTCACAACCTACCGCTGTCCCCAAGCAGAGATTCCGAACATCAATATTTTTAATTGCGTATTCTTGTAAAGATTCAATTTAGAAAGCATTATGGCGTCAAACATTCGTTCCAGTAAGTTTTGACAAACTAATACAATATATGTAAATGGTCTGTCGGCCCAAAACATGTTTTATATCCTGTATCAATTCGAAGTACACAATATAATACAAAAAATTCAATCTTATGATGACCAGGAAACAGAGTGAGATCCCGTTGAAACGTTTAGAAAATCCCTAAAAGTTAGGCATCAGGCTTGCAAAATTGCTTTTTCAAATTCTACGACAAAAAATTCACTCCAACGATGTGGCAAATTTATTCTGAAGCCACTTACGAATTAAGGAGCAGGGGTTTTCCCTTTCGCAGGTTATGGCGGAGTAAACTTTAAAAATAGCAACATTTGAACATTTATTCCAGATTTCTTGTTTGCCGAACTGAGATTACTTCAAACGAAAACGGATAAAGAACAGAAACAAGTGATTCACATTTCTCACGTGCGGTCAAAACAAACTCAGTTTACAATAAGTTAAGAAATGGCACTTTCATCTCTTAAAAGTTCGTCCTTCGATGAAATTATCGATTGACAAATAGCAGACTACATCCGAGAACCCAATTCTTTTTTTTCCGGACTTTAAGTCTTTCAGACGCCAGAGCATTTAAAATTTACAAGAGAAATTAGGACGAAAAGTTCGAGTGGTTATTCGATACCCAATTTAGAGATTTGGCCGTCAAAGAGTTTCTGTGTTGTAAAGTCAGTTTATAACAGTAAAACAATAACCACTTTCTTTCCTTTGTGGGGTTGCAGACCACATTAGCTGCGACGCTTTTATGTTTCCCTATGAATTGGAAACCATCCAAGAAGTCTATATTTTCATCGTACTGTTTAGAAGGGTGGAACTTCCTAATTGACATGAAACCATTGTTCTTGCGAAGAAATCAAATATCAGCGTTTCCTTCCGAAATGCGAACTTTTTTAGCGCTCCAAAACCGCACACAACTCCCAATGCGTTTCCAAGCAACGCACATTTTGCCGAAAAACTTTCGTAAGAAACGTGCAACACTGATAAGGCATAAATTAAGGTCAAGGTAAATGAGGCTCTACGAAGGCAAAAACTGCATTAATTGCTTTACAAGAAAATGACATTTTCCCTTTTTGAGACCTGTCACATGCTAGGCTGGTGGTAAGGGCTTAGTGGCTCACTAATTGTTCTCCCAAAAGATGTTTTCCTGATAACCTGTCTAAAAATAACCTTCAAAATTTAGATCGCTACGCGCAAGCTCAGTAAAGTTTGCAAACTACGCACACTTGGTAAAGCTAGCCAGGTGTACATTTTTAAAATTCTTTGTACATTATGTCACCGTTATCTTAAAAGTAACCTTGGCAAAAAAAAAACAGACTTTTTAGCGGTGTGTAAGCCTGACACAGCATTAACTTAAACAAAAGGATGAATTGATCGTAACATTTTCTCACTTAATTTTATGGTTGTGACATAAAAACAGAACTTTCTGACCGTGAGAGAAAAGCCATTACAATTTTTAGGTTCGATTTCCAAAAGAGAATTGTGTAGATTGAAAACCGGAAATACGCAAGAACACATTTTTCCGGTCATTGGCCATTACATCACTGCAAACCACAGAAAAGGCAAAGTTCTTGTTTACAGCAGTCAGATATCCTTACACAGCCTAGCGTTTAGGTTAGTACACTTCGAAGCTCTTCGGGATAAAGATAGAGACAGCGAGACTCTACCAGGGGCAGCTTTTAATGCGACTAAATTTCTGAGGTAAGGAAAAACAAACCAAAGTAATCCTCTGAGAAAGCGCGAGAAGTTTCAATGTTTATTTCCTCCAAGTTGAGTTTCTCTGCGGGGGAAGACAGACAGCTAGCTACCCACGTCTTTTCTGGGAAATACAACCATTTAACCGGACTAAACTTTCGCACTTAACCTCACTATTTTGCAAAATCGAACTGATCGTTGAGGATGAAAAGAAGATTCTCTTTACACATGAGAGAACTAGATTTTCTTCGAAGAATTTACCCGGCGCTCGCATAATCACTTCGTTTCGACCGTAATGTTTCTCCAGCAATAAAAGGCACCTGTCGCTTTTCAAATGGGAAAGGGAAAAATTTAGTGTTTTCACTTCATTACGTTAGGGCCGATTTGCTTTTGTAATAATGCGAAAACAAACTTCAATTTTCGCTAAAGTTCTAATCATAACAAAAAAGCGCTTACAAATTAACACTCGATTAGGATCAAGTTTGCACAAAATCTTCTTTAACTAGTCAAACGAAAGAGAGTATATTATCCGGCTCCATTCAGACTCGCTGTGTTAGCTGCGGTTACTTCCCGGTCCTAAAGAGTGATAAAAGAAAGTGTTTCCGCTAAAAACTATTGATGAAAAATCGGTGAAGGAGCCGATTACTTTGGGGGTCGACGCATTGTTAAGCCGACAGCTAAACAAAGGGCACCAAATAACAGAACTTACTCCCTTTAAGGGTCTTACTTGCTACATGTGTAAGAGAGCTAAAATCGTTTTTTCTTTAGCCAAAGATTATCAGATTTCGAGCATTGAGATCAGAAGTAAAAATTTCACCGAGACATAGGACGTTCCTTTACATCTTCTACTTAAAGATTCTAAAATTACGGTTGTTAAAATGTTTGGAAAGAAAGAGGAAGATTTTCAACTCTGTAGAGAATAGCTAATCTACATAAAGAACAGGGAAATGCAAATTAATATGGATAACTACGTTGTTTCCAATAATTCGTCGAGTTTTTAACGCGCGTTTCTTTACGAGCATTTTAGCCGAATCACGTTTATTTACACATTTATTTGATGCAAAAGGTACACGATGGTTTCACTAACTTTTCCTAAAAGGGAGGCGACGCAAGTAACAAAACGATTTTCGTCGATGAAACTACACAAGTGACGTAAATACGAAACCTTTTCCGATTACAAAGATATAGCCACCATCCATTTACTGACGTATTTTCACAGTCGGAACAAGTTTTATTACCCACGAGATCGAAGCCAGGTGAATTCAGGCGCGTAGGGCGTGCTAAGAAAAAAAATTTTTGATCTTAAGTAAAAGAAATAAAGGGAAAAAGAAAACAGACAAAGTTGAAAACCTCAGAGTTTTAGAAAAATTGGGCGTAGAATTATCGAACTACTTGTTAATAGAAACATTGAGACAAATTTTTAATCGACTAAAAAAGGAATGTGTCATTTGATTAATTACTTTTTCCCTCTCAAAGTTCGATTTAGTAGTGATATAATCCTTAGTTCGCAATAAAAAACCGCAGCTTTAATCTTAAGCGTTTTAATATCTTCATAGTAGGTATAATTTCCTTTTGTTCCATGATCTGATTAAGGTGTTGCGCAAATCAAACCATTGTCTCCTCAATCCTTAATGTTAAGATTTTCCGGTCACATCCTCGGTCACTAGCTTATAAAATATTTTTTTGGTTCTGTTTGCTAGGTAACAACACCGAAAAGAATTAAATAGCACTTAGACAAAACCATGGGATTCTCAGGTCTTCTTCGTAGAAACAGCAGCCGGAGGCGAAGCTTCAAACGAATCGAGCCACGTGACAGATCCGCTCAATCAACTAGTTCTGGCGCTCAGCACCGGTCAGTGGATACCGAAGCGAACAGCAGCGCGTCCCGGGAGATTGGGTCCATGCTACGGAAGATTGGAGACGAACTTAACAACAGCAGATTAAGCCTCAATTCCATCATTTGAAAAGGTCCATTTTTTTAGGCATAAGACGAAACAACGTGCGAGGCGTGGTCGAAGACGAGTCGATCCAGGCAAAAATGGTGGTTAAAATTTTCAGGAATTAGCAGCGTTGAGGCGTGTATGTCAGGGACGCTATGGACAAACGCCGAAAGCCGCTGCTAAGTTCAATTTGTGCGGTTAAAAACGGAGTTGCTTTGTACAATAGGCTAAACTCAGATGATTCCATTCAGTGAATTCAAGGCGAATCGTGTAAATACCGTTTTGTGAGAAACAAACAACCAATCGACGACTCAAGGATATAATGTTCACGTTTGTTACGAATCTCTAATTCACCATTCTCCGTTGTAGTTTATACGCACGGTGTATTCTATCGGTAATCAAAACTTTAAGTTGAATTGCAAACCGTGTAAATAGTCTTGCTACTACTAAATTCTACTTGTGCAATTAATAAAATATATGCTAATGAGAACCTGTTTTTGAACCAATAAATCACATACTCTAATGATAAATATTATTTTTTTATCCATAAGTTTGGGAAACACCTTCAACAACATGGGTTGGACCCTTGCTAACTGATTAACATTTTTTCTATGATTAACGTCATTTATGCTTCGTATTATTTACGAATTAATAGAAGCCAACGCCTCTGTTTTAGGAATTTTGAAATAAATATGTATACATGATCTTACTAGAAAATCAACCAAAAACAACTCAACTATCCGACTGCAGTATAATGAGCCGATTCCAATCATATGTCCACTAGAACCACTTTTTGAATGAGGTAATTTAGCAAAGATACATGTACTTGCAGATCCTCATCAAAGATGATGCAAAACTGTTCAATGTCATTTTTTGTCACTGAATGAATTTTTCCATTTATCAGCATTTTCACCCTGGGGCTGCAGTTGAATAAACAACGCACTGGCCGAACTATAGAACACTTTGCCATCTGGAGATCTTAATTCCGCCAAAGCATAAACCTTTCTTCCTTCCACTTTGTCAACCCAAGATTCAACAAGAGCAGTCGCACCAAGGGGAAGAAGACTGTTTGAAGAAATGTAACAAATCTCATCACAAATTTGCCTATGACTGAGATCCAAACATTTTAACCACACAGTCCACAGTATAGAGCAATGAGGCTGCTCATGTGAGTTTCTAGTGGTAGATCTCTATTTACCATAGTTCTGTGCAAACAGGACAAGCAAATGTTTGATTTTTTCGTAAGATGCTGCAAGAGCAAAAAGTCCTGAGAAGGACTGTTGTCCCTGATAATGATCAGCATTTTTCCAACCTTCCCAGTAGCAATTCAATCAATGTAAAATTCTGACTTTCAAACACTTAGTTACCTAGTTACCATTCCTTTCACGTCAAATCATTACGCCCCTCTATACCATGATATCTATTTGATTTTCAAACCACAACACTTCTGTAACCAGTTAATCATTACAACCCTAAATAGAAGACATACTTCTGGGAGAAGAGATCTAGACCCAGTTGCATAATTTAACTATGGACTACTTGACCAACAGAAAAGTCAAGACAGTTATTTTGACATGGCAAAGTGTTTGACTCATTGGCATCAAGTTCAACATGCAACTTCACATAGTCAGATTGACTTTGTGAACTTGATCAATATTATGAGGGTTGAAAGGCGAAGCTACAACTGTCTGGGGCATATGGAGCAGGTGCAAGCTGGTATTACAAGCTTATGAAAATAACTTGCAGGGCTCTAAATTAATGGTAACCCGTTAACCAATGGTTAGTAATTTTCAACGTTTGGTTACTAAAAGTGTGTTCAACTAACCCGACATGGCTAGTAAAATTTTCCAACATATTTAAACATTGGTGGACTTTGGGACAAAGAGTAGACCTGACTCTCAGAGGAATACTTAGAACCCTCAAGCTGTTAAATCAACTTAAAACTCTTTTTAGAGAATGTGCTGTAGATGTACTGTTCTTGACTCATCATGGTAAACAAGAGGGAAATAATTGTCAATGTTTTTCAGGCCACCATGCAATTTCAGCTACTCTTTAATTTTTCCTTGTCGTTATTATCAAAATGTTCAATATTTGAGATATCGTAACTTAAATTGTCAGCTTGGATACCAAACTTTATCATTTGGTTAGTAAAAAAGATGTCTACTAACCCGATGGCTTAGTGATCCAAAAATTAAATTAGAGCCCTGACTTAAGGTCACAACTTTTCCTAACAATAATAAATATTAAAATAGGTGGCAGTTGTATAGCTCTTTTAACTGTACTATTCAATAACTTTCTGGGATATCATAATTTAAAGACACCCTACCTTTTATAATTCATGGTCAAAGAAGCTGTCACACAACCAGGATACCACTTGTTAACACAAACACCGATGACAGAATCCATCATGGTAGCACTAGCACCACCATGAACACATCTGTAATAAGTTCAAAAGTTTACATCAAATTATGAAAGCTTAATGCCTTTGCCAGGTTGGTGTGAAAACCCATTTGTACCTACATGTAATTCCCTTAGATGGAACAATAAACCATCTGGAGAAGCCAAGGAAACATTTTTGTAAATTAATGTCCTTAGGCTTTTGATATACTGGACTCCACTAGATTAGGAATGCATTCCAACCTGGGTTTGGTTAATCTTCTCTGTACCTTTTCTTTGAAATGTCAAGCAAAGCTCCTCCTAAAAGAAGCATTTTGTGATGTCCCAAGGAACGGCTTGGAAGGAGACTGGATTTTAATTTACTGATGTGGATACTTGCTCAGTGCAAAGCACCATGCCTCCACACTAAAAAAAAAAAACTTATCATGAAAAGGATACCACAGTTAACCCTTTATACCCTTACATCAGTGTGCAAATTCTCTGAACTGTTCTCTATACTTCTCCAAATGACCATAAAGGAAAATTTGAGCTTCTTCCGTTGAACCTTAATGAGTGATTCAACCTACTAACCCCAGTTTTAGGGGTTAGCAGGTTTAAAGAGGTTTAAAGAGGTTTAAAGCAGGTTTAATGAGTGATTAAACCTGCTAACCCCACTTTTAAGGGTTAGCAGGTTTAAAGACCCTTGGGCCCTAACCCTTGACCCCTTGGGCACTCTATCCATTGAGCTAAACGCCTCCTGGTTAGCTCAATGGATAGAGTGCTTGATTGTTGTGTGGGAGGTTGATTGAGCCCTGGCCAGACCAACACTCAAGGTCTTAAAATAAAAGTGACGAGAATATGCTACCTTTCTATAACATCAAGAAATAGTTAGATATTCTAGTCTTCTCGGATAGGGACGAATAAATGGGGGTCCTGTCTCCTGCAAGTTTAGGGGTAGGAGACGTAAATTTCCTACATACGAGATTACTGTGTGATGGATGTCCTCCCCTGGGTTGGGATGGGTCGGTTTACTGGGCCCGCAGTAATTGGCGCAAGCTGTTGTGGTGTCCCTGCCTGTTGGTGAATCTAACAAACTAGGCCCTTAAATCTTTTGATTTGTTTAAACACATTTCCTTACTTTCTAGCTCTTGCACAAGACCACCCACCCCTCCCTAATAACTGTATAACACCACTTACCCTGGTGGTCCCTGAGTATATGATCCAAACTGAATTACTCCTTTCACCCTCTTTTCATTTTTTCTGAAGAAATATATGTACTCAAAGAATTTCCCTGGATATTCATTGATTAACGCTTTAGTGAAAAGCCTTCTTTCACCGTGATGTAAAGTGGTCTCATGTTCAAGCCAGTCGCCATTTCCATTTTCAGCCAAGTCATTTTTGAGTCTTTTATACAAGTCACGAGATTCCACAGTCCAAGTGTCATTGGGAGCAGAGTAAATGTATGGTTCCGTGTCTGCCATTTGATTACTCTTTTCTACTTTTTCAGTTGTTAATAAATCCTGAAAGAAAAAAAAATACCAGCAGAAAGTTAACAACAGAATAATTGACAAGCAAATTTATTAATTTTCTACAAAAACCATGCGGGTATTAGTAATTAATTAGACTGAGACCTTCCAATAGTCTGAACCCCACTGTTACCTTTCCATCTACCCTTGGAGTATTTCTCTATTGAAAAATTATGAAGAATATCATTCTAGGCTAATAATTGTAAGTGATCATTCAAAAACTTATGAAAAAAAAAAAAAAGACAAGACTTCAAAAGTGTTTAAATCGCACTTGATCAAAGAAAATTACAAGGAATATGATATTAAAAGTGAAATAATAAGTTATTGAGTATTGTTGTGATTGTTGCAGGGTTGTAAATTTTGACAAGTCATGGAATCTGGCAAAATTGAAGGAAAGGTTTCCATGGACCCCTATACTATTCTTAAACAAGGCCTCAGCCCTAGGGGTAACTCATTGTTTTCAACATTGTTTTATTTGGATAAAAAGCTGAATGCATAATAAAGTTTGGGGTTACGTGGAAATGCTGCCAAATCAAGAATTTGACACTGTTATCATTTCGATAGTGAACTGTGTATAACCCTTCAGAGCAAGATTTGCATGTAAAGTTACTTGAATAAAAAAAAATAAAACAAATAAATGGCAAAAGATTAGAAGACCATTGGGGCTAAAGCTTTGCTTAGAAATGGAGCTATAGAATAAAAACAGAATAAAATTTGTTGAGCGGAGGGTCGAAGTCCAAGCTATTTTTGTTCTCAAACGTTTTAGCTATCGAACTTAACCGCCACTGGCTCGAACCTTACATAATCCGCCACAAAAAAAAACACATTTCAAGGTCGAATAATAAGACAGCAACAATCATACTTGTTTAGCTAAGAGTTAACAATGAAGTAACAATACCTGTTAGCAGTGTTGTTTCACAGTACTACTATAAAGCCGACGCCCTGAGGACTTATCAGTGACAGATAATGGGTGATTCGTAGTGTGACCTCTAATAACCTTCAACCAGTGCGGTAATGCGCCAAAATTACAGTTCAAATATGATGCTTGTGTAACAACCTTTGGGTTCAAATAGGACAAATGCCTTTTAAAACCCTGTTGAACATCACCTTTACTTAAAGTATTCCAAAAGTTCGGCCTCTGCCGACTGATAAATCGAGACACACGGTGTAGTGTCAAGCGATTCGCAGGGGTTGCCATTTCGAAATAAAATCATCTACCGAGCACATCTGTTGGACTAAAATAGAGCCAACTTCAACCCTGTTAAATACTGCAATAGCGAGAGTCAAAAGTCCAAACTGAGGAAAGAGTTTCCTCTCTTACATCATACGATTGCAACATACTGATCAGCAGATTCATTGCGTTACTCATCGTCTCTGTGACGTCAAAGATGACCATTTAGCCTCGCTCCTGGAATCCGTGTCTTTCCAGTCAGCGGTTTCTTGCTTCGTCGCCATAGCAATAACAGAGGATTGTTCTATCGTAGCAGGACAGATTTTGGTCGATTGAGTCTATCAGGAGTTGCATTTGTGGTTTATTTCTTCCAGATAGTTTGTACCATAATGAGTGTACGGACATATAATCCCTCAGTTCTCATAGGGAACTGGAATGAAGATATTTGCTTGCAAGAGGTTCGAGATTTTTGAAGATTCGCTTTACTTGTTTGTGTACATGGCCTCCAAGCTAATTGATAACATCCCGTGAAATGTGTACGGGAATACATTGTTTTCACTCTTGAAGTAAACTTGAAACTCATTCGTTTGCAGGATAAGCTCAAAGATTTTCTTGAGAAGAAAGAAAGTGGAGAATTACTGATACAAAAAGCCAGCAATCTCCTTCAAAATATACTCAAAAAGGTGAGCGAACGCGTTATTAATTATTTCTCAAGGAAATTAGCAAATTTATTTAAATTTGCTTGGCTTGATTTATACTTACATCTTAGTTTATTTTGCATAATCTTTAAGAAGCTTTCAGCTGTTTAGCAGCTTTCACGCCATCAGGAATTCCTAATGTAAAAATATCAAATTGAATACTTAACTTGATCCCAGTTAAGTAATACTATTTAGTTCATCCCTAGCTCTTTAATGGGCCAACAAAGATTGTATTTATGTGTCACTCTAACAGTTAACATAAACCTATAAATATTCCCTGCTGAGGCTTTCTCTATTTACTACGCTTTGGATTGGTTATAACAGCTACAAGCTATGATTTGCTGAAGCAGTTACCCTTGAGTTCTATTTGAACTCTTAAAGCTTATTGGAAAGTATCCTCTACTCATCGAAAAACAGATTCTATGTTGCCATGCATCTGTTCAGTAACAGATCAAAGATCAGGGCTTGACACTAACTTTTCAACTTACTAGACATTTTAGATGTTACAAAAATTTCAGTTTGTTAACTAGCCAAACTGGCTGGTGGAAATAAAAAACCAGTAGCTAAAACTGAATTTCTACTAGTCTGTGGCTAGTGGGCTACCACTAGTGTCTAGCCCTAAAAGATGATGCTCAAGTGTGGTAAGAAGAAAAAGAGGTACATGCAGCCAAGGCTGTGCTTTAAGAAAAATTGAATGGAGCCCAGTGCTCTGAAATTGTGGAATCCAGGGTGCTCAGCATTTGCTTTTTATGAAAAAACTAAGATTCCTGAGTTGCCCAAGAGCAAAAGTGAGGCACTAGGGGCCACTGGGCACTGCTAAACCACAGCCTTGGAGGCACAGCCAAGTGTGTCCCTGATGTTCTTTCTATATTTTTTGCTTCTTTTGTGATCTGTAACTATATTAACCCACAGCAACATGGAATCTATATTTGTTTTATACTCATATTATATATGTTTTTAATAGATCATGAGTGAACCAATCAAAAAGAGTATAGAGTCCAGCTCATCATGTAAACATAAATGTTTTTAATAACATGATTAAAGAAGCCACACTTACTTATCATGAATCAGAAGAAAAATTTTGTCACTCCCAAATGACATCTGAAATCTCTATGATATTTCCATTTTTATTTCAATCTTTCACTGTGTGTTATTCCATTCCTTGCAGGTCAATCTGTCGGTATCTCAAGATGGTTATCTTCATTATGGTGACACAGTGTGTATCTTCAATCCAGCAACAGAGGCAGCACTTTCAGCAAATATGTCTGAAAGCAAAATGCATGACGAAAAGAGACTCGTGGGGCCATGTGATGTGTCAGCTTCAAAGATGACAGATCCTTGCATTCGAAATACTTTTATCATAGGGTGTGTCGCTTTGTTTACGTTATTCCTTAAATACTGCAGTAGGACTATCTTTGATATAAATATATGCATTATAAGATAACTACAAGCCCCCTTATTGGTTATTGCACTAGTAAAACCATAGAAATTTACAGTTAATTTTTTTTTAGCAAATGGTAAACACCACGGTATACACTATCGAGTTATGGATGCATGTAGGAGGTTGCTAAGCATGAAAGAAACGTAAGAATCACACGAGGCGATAGCCGAGAGTGACTCTAGCTTCTTGAGTACTTAGCAAACCTCCCAAGTACATCCATAACTCAATAGTGTATGCTGTGGCATTTATCATTTGTTTTTATAACATAACATTGATACATTGTAGCAAGAGTTTTCTTTTTGTTTGACAAATCTTACATGACCAGAAAAAAACAAGCGTGCGTGGAAAACTAGTCTTTGCATTTGCTCACGTCAGGAGCATATACCCATGGGAAAATGGTGGATGCTGAACTGACCAATCAGAGCACGCACTTTGCTTTCAATTGGTTATGTTATGTTAGTTTTTTGGGTTTTCATTTATCTAAGAAATCAAGTGACAGGAGAAAAGAGCAATACAAAAAGTAACAGGACAATATAACCTTTCACATCTAAAAAAAAAATGTCTAGGCCATCAAAATCTAAGCCAGACAATTATTTCATCTTTGTTGCTTTGTAATAAACCACCTTTTTCCCAGGTGGTTTATGACACTCATTTACTGTCTGGTGAAATGGTCTATTACATATTAAAGTAAACTCATTTGACTGTGAACCACCAAGAAGAATAAAAGGAGAGCTTTGAGATACAGGGACACATTGATGGCTGATAATAAATATATGAAGAGCCAGACTGAGTATAAAACACCTGGATGGAAATTGTTGTAGCTGGGAGTTGAGTTAAGTTATATTAACCAAACTTGAAGTTACCAATATTTCACTGTTATATTTTAATTAATCATAAAGAAAAAGATTTAGAAGCTTTTGGGTCATACAAATGTGTAAATATAGTAAATAGGGCTCAGTTTGGATTCTTGAAGGTGTCCATTCAGGCCAAAATTATCAACTGTTTTATTAGGCTTTAAATATGCAAGGTTCTCAAAGTTGCCCCCAATTCAATGTAACCTGCCAGTAATTTATTTTATGATGTTATTACCAGGCCAGTAATTTATTTTGTAATTTTATTACCAGGCCAAGAGCAGAGGGTGATGGAGTGTTAAGATTTAATGAGCCATTCACACTGAGAACTTTACCTGGAGTCGGAGGAGAGGTATGCAATCAAATTATAAGTAAGGAGTTATTTCATATGATCTCTGTAAGTCAAAGACTTTCAGCTTGGATTGTGTAGTAGAGAAAAAATATAAATGTTGAATTACAGGTCAAGATGTTCACAAAGCATCCAAGATAAAATAATTGTCTGGCTTACATTTTGATGGCCTAGACATTTTTTTTTAGATGTGAAAGATTATATTGTCCTGTTACTTTTTGTATTGCTCTTCTCTCCTGTCACTTGATTTCTTAGATAAATGAAAACCCAAAAAGCTAAACATACAAAGGGTTAATTGGCCTGCATTACATGCATCTAAAAGGCAAATTCTTTAATTTCTCATTATTTTTTTTGTGACAAATCAGCTGCCTTTTGAGTTCACCCTTAAAAAGTTTAATCTAATATTGTTAGTAAAACAAACTACTGCTCCTGTCTAACCGAATGTTGTATAGGATTTCTACTGAGCCACTGACATTCCCTTTTTTAAAACATAAATGCTAAGTTTTACCTTAGTCCCTCTACTGTGGGAATAATGACTCCAGTCATAATACAGCATGGTTAACCCTTAAATACACCCCATATTCATTTCCTCCATACTCTTCTTTATACATTTGCTTTGATACTGACATGGAGAATTTGTTTAACATCAAAACTTGTTAGGTGGGTAAAAATTTCTTTTCCTTCTCATAAACTTAATGAATTACAGTATTCTATAAGTATAACTGCCAGGAGAAATTAGGTCACGCTGGTTACTCCAAGGGTTTATATCAAATGGTTAATGGCCATTACTCAGTCAAAGTCAAATTGATCAGACATTGACAAGATGTTTTACGTCTGTTTCTTTTCCATGCAGCTCAAATTAATGAGTGACAGAATAACATTTAATGAATGTGCAAAGAAGTCGAGGCAACAGCTGGTTACCCTTAAGGAAGATATGACATTCATGTCTTGCTGGTAAGCACCTTTGGATTTTGTTTACATTATTCTTCATCCACTTGTAAATTAGCAATGGTTACCATGTTATATACTTGAAGCATGGAAAAAACGGCTTTTTTCAGTGGAGCTTTCCTATTTGAGCCATTGATATTGTTGGTACTTTAAACTTACAATGTATCTACTGTAAGTATGCTTCCCCTCCCCTCCCCTCCCCTCCAAGCGATACCATTAAAGGAATATTTTTTCGTTCTTTACAGAACGTTAATTTCAAATTATGCTCCATAAATTTGCAATGATCATTGTTTTTCGGTAGGAAAATCCTTTGCCATGACCCTCAGCAGCGTCTAGAGACAGAAGGAATGCCTGTCCCGGTAAGTTCTCCATCTCAGATACCTGTCTAGATGAGATTTTATTTGTTGCAGAAGATTGAGCCAACTTAACAATTACCTTCTGTCTTTGCTCGCTTATCGTTTATAGAGTGAGCATAATTTTAATCATTATCAGTAATTGAAATTGATTTTTTTTTCCCATTTGATAGGCAAACACGAAAGTCATTCTAAACCACGTGAAAACCAATCAGAACTTGGCCGCCTTGACGGAGTTTTCTTTCCGGTTTGTCATAGTTGATAATTGCAAACAACTTTATTTATTCCCTTTAATATTCTTCAAAGTTGGTGAGATTTAACAATTTATCAGTGCGTTACTTTGTTTTCTCTGACTTTTTCCTGACTCTCTGTTCCCAGTAACTCGATGTCTTACCAATGCGTGAAATACTTGATTATCAGTACTGATTACAGATTATTTTCATGCCATCTTACCTTAGAACGCCGTTTGGAAGAGAGTTTGAGGTGGCCGCCAAAACTGAAGTAGATTCTCATAAGGCAGAAAAACCGTGTAATCACTGGGTGTTTAGAACACGAGAAGTACAAGATGCAGCGAGAGAGCACGAGTTAGAAAGAGAACAAGAATTTAAAGATTTACTTACAAGAGAACAAGCTGCCGAGGCCGAGGTAGCCGCTGCCCCTCCTGCAGATGAAGCACCTGGTGCGTCTCAGGATAATCAGCCAGGGGGGAGCAGTGAACGTGCTCAATAAAACCGTCAACCTTCTTGATGATATGTAATTTCATAGCTGTTTATAAGTACTTCTTAGTGTATTAAATTAAAGCGTGTGATATAACTTATTGGACTTACTTAAAGATTTAAAATGATTTAAGTTCTATTAACGTAAATCTAAAATCATTGGAAGACTATATAGATTCGTTCTTTAAACCCTTGTTAATGTATCGTTCACCGCACTCGGTGATTCTTTATTGAATTAGTTACATAGCAGTTGGAATTGTTTTCGTTTTCTTTTTTGCTTTTTTGTCATTAGTCTCAGTCGATTTCGTGACTATTAAAGGCGATATTCAGGCTTAATCCTTATAGTTTGTAAACGTTCACTTTCATTTGAATTCTTCTTTGCATTTTGAAGAACTTGCTATTTCAATCAAGCTTGTGTGAGTAAATGAACTTAACTGTGCCAGAATCAGATAAATTCAATGAATTGTACACTAGATTATAGTAAAAAAAAAAAAAAAGAAAGAAAAGTTCAATAACTACGAAGTACGATTTTGTTACTAGATTTGAAACTGTACATAGAATATATGATCCACTGCTTTGGGCAACAAAAGTATCTTTGGATGTATTTGTCATTTTATTGTTAAACGATACAAGAATTTTTTTTCCCAGCCTTGTCTGTCGGAAGAGCAATAAGTCGAAAGGCAGCACCTCGTGATATCGATATGGTCACGAGAAGGCCTTTTTCGCTCACCTTTCATCTTTGAATTATTTAAAATCTAATAATTACAGACCAAATAGCTCGTTCTAGGCGTTCACTGAATAATAAACGGCGCGATAAGGTCCAACCCCGTCCTTAGGAGCAAGGTTGGGTACTGACTGAGTATATCCACCGGTTTACTGCTCTTTACTATCGCGCTTTGTTTTATTACTCCACCCCTGGGGCAGGCCAAAGACCAGACCTGCTAATTTGTTCGGGTGAGAGGAGGAGATTTGGAAGGATGGAATTGTGAATACCATGATTGTTTCTCCGACTTAATTGGCCGGATTTCTCAATGATTAATTTGTTGGAAAACAGTGGTAATCAACTCAATCCACATTCATTGCGTTTTATTTCATTTTTCCTCTATCTGCGATGAGCGGACAAATTTCTCCTTTCCGTGACTTTTTCTTACTTCGCCCACCCACCACCATAAAACTAGCTATGCAATGGTCTGTCAACAAGTCAAGATAACCTGTAAAAGGTGTTGTAATTAATACAATCCACTCGGCCCTGACCTAAGATGAATTATCGTCGTGGATCCATCTTTCAGCAAGTTTTCTCATGACCACACCTGCAGTGGAAACCTAACTGATTCCCACGCGTATTGATGATGTTGATGCTGTAGTTGTTTATCACGCGAACCCTCTCTAGCTTCACTTTCCACGACTCAGCAGTGGGAAAATATAGGAAGGCAACACGATATAAAATTTCGGTGAAGGAGGAGACGGCTAACTTCTCGCCTATAACAATATGTAGAGAAAGGAAGGCAACAAGGTCTTAGTAAAGCTGTTTTCAATACGCGATTTGATCTTGTTTGTGTGACAATGAGTGATAATCCTCTGTTAAGTGAAATTTATTAACTCTATAGAGGTGCGGAAATGTCGCAGCACGAAACCCAAGGAAAGTGGTAGTTATGAGGTTTCAATAAAAGGCGGTTGCCAGCGGTCGACCATCACATCATGTAAGACCTAATAATGATAATAATAATAATAATAATAATAATAATAATAATAATAATGATGATAATAATAATAATAATAAGCTTTATTTCAACAGATAAAACTAATCAACAATCTAATAGATTGGCTGGTAGAAACTAGTGATCAGCACGATAAATAGTATCAATCAAAATCAAAGGAGAAACCCTATAAAGAACTAAAGTCTAAATTAAAAGGACAAAAATATATATAGAAAAGCTAATACTGAAATAACTAAATAAATGATTAGATTTGTCGTATTCTGAAAAATATTTAAAAACTATTTCCTTAAATTTAGATAAAGACTGTATCTCTCGAATGTCTTTTGGTAAAATATTCCACTCCTTAGCAGCAGTACATTTAAATGACATGTGACCCATTTTGGTCTTTGTAGCAACAATGTTCAATAACGTAGAATCTCTAAGATCTCTGGTATGAAAGGCTGATCTCTTAAGGAGATAGTTCTCTAATTTCTGTGGGAAATTTATATTATGTATAATCTTAAAAACAAGATTAGGTCTTAAGAGTCTACGTCTACTCTCTAAAGACAATAAAGAAAGCTTACTACCCATTTCTTGAGAACATGTATTGCGATTTGCAGAGAGCATGGTACGCATGGCCTGATTTTGTAACCTTTCTAAACGTTGTGAGTTGTTCTTTCCAAAGTCTCCTCTTACCGCCTCAGTTCTCTTTAGCCTGAGCGCAGGTTCTCGTGTTTTAGTTTCGCGGTGCCACCGTTCAATTACACCACTGCGGAAACCGCTTATGGAAAAAGTTGTTCGGAAACCCAGCTGAAACTGCAAGTGATAGAGAAGTGTCAAGTAAAATTTGGCGGTGGGTCAGATAATGAAAGCTTGAACC